ACATGTCACCCGAGGACTCAGGGCTGTTCCATTTCCAGGGTGGGGTGCAGGTCTTTGGTCTCCATCCTCACATCTCATCTACAGAGATCACAGGAGGACAGTCCTCAGTTCTCGTGGGATCAGATTACAAAAGAGAGGATGACAAGTGTTGGTGCTGTGTCTTCTAGTGTTTGTGAGGACTCCGGCTTGCGGAAACTGACTGTTTATGGAAAGTCACCTCCTGAAAAGCTCTATTTTTCTAATCATCATCATGTGCTTGTGGAAAAACTGAGCTCAATGATTAACAATAGAACAGAAACTCTGGGGCAAACCAGATTTCCCTGTTTTACTTTTGCTGTTTGTTTTCTTTTGCTGTACACAGACTTCCATCCTTCCCACCCTGCTCCTTCCCATGGACACAGAGTGAAGGCAGGAGCTTTGTAACGAGAAAACACTTAGGCTTTGCAGTTTGTGCAGTGAACTAGTCTGGGTTCTCCAGAGAAGCAGAACCATAGGATAAGAACTTGGGTCACACAGTCCTGGAGCCCAAGAAGTCTGACAATCCACCATCCACGAGCTGGAAACCCAGGAAAGCCAGGATATAGCTGGGAATCCTGGGAGTCAAGAGCCAGTGGGGCCGATTCCGGTCGCAGTCCAAGTCTGGAGGGCAGAAAGTGCCAAGGGTGGAGATCGCTGCTCAGTAAGATAGGCAGTAAACAAGGTCACCCTGCACCATTTTATGCCCCCAGACATGTGTTCTACCAGTGTGTTGAATGTTTAATTGATTATAGTAAAAGACACATTACTATTAATCCCCCTGACTTCGAACACATGTTCCATTGTCCTGGAGTCTTTCTGCAGCAGTTCTGGAAGAGCACTTTTGTGAGTGTCTTCAGCTATGCGGCACGGTTACCTCAGTGTGCTGAAGGTCCAGAATTAATTCAAAATCTTGACTTTTCATGACCAGTTTGACTTTAGGGAAGATCCAGAAATTACATACTGACCAGTGGATGAGGATTCAGCATCGTGTTTTTAATCTCTCAGAAACTGCCACAAATGTTTGTTCAAGGAGGGGGTGCTCAAAAAATACAGTGAACATTTAAATTTGAAAAATTATGACATGGCTGGGGATATAACTCAGTAATATAAACACTTGTCTGGCAAGCACCAGGTCCTGAGTTTGATTTCCTGGTATAAAAAATGAAGTATGACAATCAATTGCCATTAATCCCTGACTCCCCCTCACTGCTTACAGACATCCCATTGTCCTTGGCAATGTGTCTTTTACTGTAATAAGTTTTCATTCCAATTTAAACATCGAATGTATTTTTCAATCACCTCTTGCATTCTGGCTACCAGCAGATCAGATGACACCAGCCCACCGTGGGAAGGGCCAGCTGCCATATCAGTTCACCAGTTGTGTCAGTGACTTCCGGAGACACCCACTCACACACAATGGGAAAGATGCTCACATACAGTGGGGTACCAGGTGGCCCAGTCAAGGTGATATAAAAATACCACACACAGTTCAAGATGCAACTGCCCATCCCCAGCCCTCGGGAGAAAGCAGGGACAGACCACGCCAACTCATGCACCAGCAGCACTCCATGCACAGGGGCAGTACCGGCCAGAGGCAGCCAACAGGCCACCGTCTGTCACCACAGCCTGCTGCCTATATGAGGCCTGTGCGTTTCTATGGGAATTCCAGTGAGTCTCTGAAGCCTCGAAGGATACAGGTTAGACCTCTGCAAGCGTTAATTTCACCGATCTTGTAACATTTTGCCTGAATGTGCCATGACTGTGTGGTCATAGGAACTGGCACGTGTGAGAGAATATTTCAAAACACACTGCTGTGAAGATTTGCAGGCAGGCCAATGCGGAAACACTGGGACCTTTAATGGCAGTGCACAGGGAGGGACAAGCTACCTGTTAAGCAGGCCTGAGAGGGAAACCAGCACTGACTATAGCGATCGCGTATTGGGATTTTTTTCTCTCACTATGGCTTTGTGAAAGAATCCTAAGCACACACCCAGAATATTTCCAGTGGTCACTGCAAAGCTCTGCCTCTGGATTCGACACCATGAGGTTTATGCTCGCAGGAAACCACAACTCAACACCCTGCATCTGGCGTGAGCCGCACGCCTGGAAAGCCCTCATCACAGGTTTTTGGGAGTCGTACTGCCCACGGTGTTCCTCACCAGGCAGAAGCTTATGCCCCCAAGCTACACCCTGACCTGGCTGCTCCTCATGGACCTGCTGGGTCTGGCAGGGTTTGTCCCCAGGGTCCCCAGGGAAGCTCCCAAGAACAGAAAGCCTCATGTGTGAAAACGCAAGGACAAAGAGAGAGACACAGCCCTGCCCTGGGCCCATGCAATGTCAGATGAAGCTAGGTCACTCACCAGCCCCTGCACCCCCACTTCCTGCTCTGCAAACTCAAGAACCTTTGCCCGGCCCAAGCTCAGGGCTCAGCGTCATCCATCAGCTCTGCATCCCACAGACCCTGCTGTGTCTAAATTGCACAAAGATCAGGAAGATAGAAACTCACAACAAGCTGCACTTTACAGACCCCAAAACAAAACGGTAAGGTTCACAGAGAAAGAGAACCCTGGAGCCACTATGGTCAACAGAAAACAGGAAACCCAAGCTGCCAATGTGGAGGTCACCAACAGCCCTAAAACACCAGCCTGAGCCCTTCCTGCTCCTGTCCAGCCACCTCTGGGAAGCAGGTCCTCTACCACAACTGCATGTGGCCTATGTCCCTCACCGACGTGTACATGCACAGCATATATTTAACCCACCTCACTCAAATCTAAAAGTTCAGTGGGTTTACACTACAGGTTTTGGGTCCCTTACAAGGCCCATCCACGGCTACTCTCCCAGCACTGGCCCTAGCTAACCCTGGACTGGACAAGACCCAAAGGCCCTTCCTCTGGACCTAAGCCCTCTTTCTATTGTGGCCATGAGACAGGCATTTGGTGATGCTTTCTGAACACCTACAGGTTCAATAGGGGAGCCAGAGGTCAACTCACTGACCTCACAAATGGGAACACTCAGTCTGTCATGGTCAAGGGGAGTCACAGCACGATGAGGGAATGGAAGGCCCTGTGCCCCCTGGGGCAGCAGGTGCTCAACCTAAAGAAAGGCTGAACTGTGGCCACCCTGTGGGGAGTGGGCAAGAAGCACAGGGAGTGGCCCCACAGTGGGCGGGAACAGGGCTATTAGGGGACAGAGGGTACCAGGAGGAACATGGCAGACAGAACTGTGATGTCACCAGATGGAGCAGACTGAGCCCAAAGCCTTCATCATAGATGCAGATTATCATAGAATAATAACATGGTCAACCTGTGTAACCCTGACAATGCTGGCTTTGTACTATGAAATGCGATCACACCAATCTACAATCATTTGGGGAGTTTGGTTATTTTTCTCTCGTTGCTGAGACAAAATACCCAACACCCAAAAGGAAGGAAGGAAAGGTTTTTTTAGCATACATTTTGTGGAGGTTTCAGTCCATACTCAGCTGGCTCCAAGGCAGTGAGGCATGACTAATGGGCAGCTGTCAATGGCAGCTGCAACAGATTCCAAAAGGGCAGAAAGGGTAAGAGCGTGCCTCCTTCCCTCCCTTATATTGTATGCCAGATCCTAGCCCCTGGGAAGGTGCAGCATTCACACCACAGATCCCAGTGCTAGACAAAAACTAATCACAAACACTAGACTCACCCGCCTCCATGATTGCATGAGGTTTTTTGGGGCATCCAGACACAGACCCTAACAGGGAGTAACACAACAATCTCAATGGAACAAACAAAAGAAAATTTTAGAAAAGTCTTGGTGAAAACATAGACCAGAGCATATTAACAATAATAATAATAATAGTCATATACAGACCCTCCTCCTTTCACAACTAAGTTCTCTTCCTGAGTAAACAAATTGGTCACTAAATGAGGAAGTATGTGTAGTGTGTACATTATAATCTTCAGAACAAATAAATGGGCAAAGGAAACTCCAACATGCTGACTTTGCTTCATTTGCCTCTTACTTGCAGTACCACAAGGCATAAAACTATAATACAGTAGTATACAGTACAATCAGCAAAACTTGCAGTTCCGCATACACAAATGGTACTGCACTCAAAAAATGGCCTATAAGTCCAAGTGATGAGTCATAAGTCCAGACAATAAACAAGCAGATTGATAAAAAGAATCTCTGTGTAGAAGTTAGCCTGCAGAAATTTAAAAATGCATATTCTATAGCAAGTATGCTTTGAATTCCCCACACACACACCTAAGAAAGCTTACAGGTCCTCATTCACCTGTACCAGTGATGGCGAACCCTTTAGAGTTTTCAGTGATAACAAAAAATCCACTGTGGCACTTGTGTCATAAATTTGCCACCACTGACCTATACGTTAATAAAATACACTTAAAATTCTTTTTAAGAAAGCCAGATGTCAAGGAAACCTAAAAGTAATTTTAAAAATCTGTGAACCACTCTCTGGAAAGAGTCTCAGGCTACAATGCAGGTTCAGCTGTTTCAAGGAATATTATCATGCAGACCACATTACTGACACGTAATGAAATTGAGTGAGAAACAAGTATGCTCATTAAGACCTGTGCATTAAGGGGAAAAAATCCCTGAAAACACTCACGTCAAAGCATAAATCATACTGGGAACAGAAATACTTACAACTAAATAACAATAAAAATACCATTAGCTGGAGCACAGCTGAAGTGGTTCTTGGAAAATTTATAGAAATCACAGATTGAGACTTAATGAACAAGGTATCAAATTTGAGTTAGATTTTTTAAAAACTAGAATCAATTCAAAGGAGACAAAGAAAAAAATCATATTACAAAAATATAGAGACAATAAACATACACTAGAAAAGACAAATAATAGTCATAAAATGTACATAAAGTGTCTTGCTAGCTGAGAGAAAGAAAACAAAATTAATGATAGAAATTTAAAAAGGAGCGTAATTATGGATAGAGCTGGGATTGAATGCAACAGCTACTAATAACTATGATTAATTTCTTTTTTATTTTATAAAACAAAAAAGATACAATGATACAGAATTTCAAAACAAAATAATAGGGAATTAACACTAATTAATATATTGTTATCTTCAAAGTAGTTGTTCCAATTATAAGACTTAGGTATGAAAAAATTATCGAACAGTCAAACAATGAAAACACAAACTGTTCTTTTTGATGAACTAACAAAGAGATTAGTATAGTTATGTCTTGCATACATGTACACACACATACATGCATATACATCTGCACATATCTTCTCCCTTCTTTCCTTTCTCCATTCCCTATCCCAGTTGTTCTTTCCTTTTGAGCACTTTCTTTGTACAGAACTAAATGTACAGTTCTGTACTTTCTTTGTACAGAACTACTTTCATTTTCACAATATTTATCATACATTTTGGATCTTATCTACTCTTTCAATTTTTTTAATACTAAGGAGACAATGCAATATTTACACATATGAGCCTGGTTTATTTCACTTATGAGTATGGTCTCAAGTTGCATCCTTTTACCTATGAAAGCCTCAACTTTATCCTTCTTATAGCTGAATAATACTTCATTGTATAAAAATACCACCTCTTTTTAATCCATTCTGTGGTCACGAGCATTTGGGCTGTTTCCAAGATTTAGCTATTAAAAATTATGCTGCTATACACATGGGTACACATACATTGTTGTGGTATGATGTTTTTAATTCTTCTGGGAAAATACCCAGAAGGGGGGTAGCTGGAATGAATGGAATCTGCAATCCTAGTTTTTTGAAGAATCTTCACACTGATTTCCATAGTAGTTGCACCAGTTTATACTCCCACCAACAGTGGAGAAGAGTTCCTTTTCCCCTGCAGCTCCACCAGCATTTGTTATTGCTTGATATCATGACAACAGCCATTCTTTCTGGAATGAAATATAATCTCAGTGTTGTTTTAAATTGCATTTCTGAAATGAATAAGTAATTTCTCTGAGCAATTTCAGTTATAAAATGTTTGCTATCTTCTGAAAATACATTTTCTTATCAGTGAATTTCACCTGATTTATTTTAAAACATCACTACAATTTGATACTAAAATTCAGACAAGGACAATACAAGAAACTAAAATTAAGCCTACAAAATACCAGGAAGCCAAAGGTAACAAAACCTCACAACCCACTGTTCCTGTTTGTCTTAGTTACTTTATGCTCATCGCTGAGACAAAATACCTGATGCCCAAGTTGGGAAAGGAAAGGTTTATTTCTTTCAGTTTTTGGAGGTTTCAGTCCACACTCAGTTGGCTCCCAGGCAGGCGGGCATGGCTGGCCCGCCTTTCATGGCGGCTGGAAACAGCAAAGAGGAACCAGCAAAGAGCAAGACACACCTTCTTCCTGCCATTACATCACATCCTGGCTCCACCTCTAAGTGGGTGAGCACTAACACCGTCAATCCAAGCACTATACAATGAACTATCACAAATGAACAATGCAAACTCATGAGGCTTGGGGGACACAGACATAAACCATGACACTGTTGTAAACAACACACTTGTAGAGTTGTATTTAATTATTTAACTCAAAATGTGTTTTAGGGGAAATTCTACGTTGTTTGTATTTATTACTGTGATTAAACTAATGGGAAATTTTATATACTCACAAATGATTTTTTGTTTTGTTTTCTAGTTCTTTCCATTTTCTGGTCATATAGGTTAGAAATTCTTTTATTATTTTCTTATATACAGTTGTATGGAAGAAGATCTATCCTATTTTAAAATCTATCAGTGCTACCTTTACATTTAGCAAGTATCTGTTTAAACATTTAGTTCGGTACAAAAATCAAGAAAAAAAAAATAACTGTCTTCTAGAGAGCAAGATGGAACTGGAGCACTTCCGGTTCCTCCACCCTGACCTGAGCACCTGTCACCCTCTATAATGTGTTTATCCCGGCCCAGGCTCCTCCTCAGCCCCTCTCCCAGTGAGGACCAAAGCTGGAAGCCTGCACACCAGTTGTGTAACACGAGGCTGGGTGGTTCGGGTCACATCATGCCCAGGGCTCCCTGGTCATCCCCTGCTGCTGGATTGAGGCTTGGCAAATCCCCTGCAGGCCCTGCTTCCCTGGTCTCCCAGGCTCTTGCAGTCACTCTCGCAGGTCTATACCGGTGCTGAGCATAGTCACACGGGTCTAAGAGGTGGTAAGGGCCAGGACAGCCCCACAGAGCAGAGCGCCCCTGGCTCCCACACCAGGAGCCTCGAATGAGAGTGCAGGTCAGGCTCCCTCCCCGATGCTTCTTGATGCCTCTGGGCTCACTCATAGACTGTGGCTCCGAGAGGAGAGACAGGCAGATGCGGGAAGGTGTCTCCCAGTCCTTCCTGCTGGAGCTGTGACTAAAGCCCTCTTGGACTGTGCCGTGCAGATTCCCACACCCAGCCTAGAGCTGTGGCAGAAACGACAGTGGAAGACGGCTGAGATGGGCATCCGGGATGTAGAGCACACACAGTCCCTCTGACAACCCCAGTCCCAGGGCAGGGCGGGAGGAAGAGCTGCAAGAGGAGCCAGAGTGCAGAAAGGGGCTGAGACGGTGAGAAGCCTGCATCCCGCAGCCTCCGCCCAGGAGCGAGGTGTGCGGTGATGGGAATGCCCAAGCAACTGTCATCAAAAGGTTCAGAAGTATAAACGTATAGTAGTGACCAAAATGCCATGTTCTAAAGTCCAAAAGCTGCAGGAACAGGACTGATAAGAGGAAAGTCACAGCATGGTGACATTTAACCTCACGCCATGAGAGACCCTCCTCGAGCAGGTGCACGCAGGGACTGGGGCATGCACGTAAAAGAAAAACCAGTAAAAAAAAATAAAATAAAACAAAACCAACATGGACACAGAGAAATAGTACACAGAGGAGGCAGAGTAGTATGCTGCCTGCAAAATTAGGCCTTAAAATGAGACAAAATGTGACTATTCACTGGGCGGAGTCCTCATGGGGAATTAATTCAGGGTTCATCCAGGAGTCAAATGATTAAGTCTTTATGTGTTCAGTGCATAAAAAAAAAACACAGAACTGCATGACAGTGGAATTTCAGCCTGCACATAAAACTATGCATTACATAGACTCCAAAATCTCATGAAAGAGATAGCAGGAAGTTAACCCAATGTGGAACCATGGGTAAGTTATATTTCCTCCTTTAGGCTTATCCATTTCTGATTTCTACAAGACACATGTGTTACTTCCACCATAAGGAAATGAGTTATTTTTAAATGATTTTTTAAAGTATACGGTGCAATAAATGCCCTCAGAAAATATCAAGAGGTAACAAAGAAAGACAAAACACATCACATATGATCACAGTTGATGAACATTAGAAGGAAAAATAAAAATATGATGGCTATAAATATTTCTCTGGCAAACAATATGACATTGAAATATTGGAAGTGTAAGCTTTTCATCACACAAGTAGAAATTGACAAAAGCTTGACTGCAGTGGGATGCACCAATGCACATCTTACCAGTCAAAAAGCAACTCTCAATAAGTATGCAAATTTTATAAATAGGAATTCTTTAAAGAGCACAAAATTTGTATCCTTTCAACAAAAATTACCTGTTATTGCAGGGTGTAATGGCGCACTTCTGTAATCCCAGCGCTCGGGAGGCTGAGATGGGAGGATCGTTGCTGCAAGTTGGAGACCAGCCTGGGCTATAAAGTGAACCCAAGGCCAGCCTGAACTGCATAGCGAGACCCTGTCTCAAAAAGGCAAAAAAAAAAAAAAATTACCTATTATTTTTTCAAAATTATGGTACATTGAAAAATACATTGATGTCTTGATGGACTTCAAAGAAAATATGTCACATTATATAAAGCAATAATCAAAGAATTGTGAATAAACAAAATTATACACTCAAAACCTCTTAAAAACTATAAGTACATATGTGTGTATGTAATATATACACATTAAAAGGTAACAAACATATTTGTATGTATGTAATATATATACATATATAGATAACCAATCAATAAATAAAACAACTAATGGAAAAATGGCTGTCACAAGGACAAATTACTAAGAAAGCAATTAGAATTACAACACTACACATCAGTGTATGCAGTGTGCCAAAACTGTACTCAGAAAAAAAAACCTCCTTTCTGTTTTAGTATTTCTGTCATGCTAACAAACACCTGAGATGATCAGCTTACAAAGAGACAAGGTATACTGTGGCTCAGGCTTCTGAGGCTTTGTCCATGTCACTCAGCTCCTTTGTATTAAAAGGTGAAGCGGAAACATACAACAGGCAATGGCTGAGCAGCAAAACAGGAAGTGAGAAGAAAGGGTGCTTCACCAGCCCTTGGAGGGTGCAGCCCAATGACCTAACTGCCTCCCGATAGGCCCCGCCTCTCAAAAGCTTCCCACCTCCCAAGAGTGCCAGCCGGGGATGAAGCCTTTAACACATTGTCGTTTGCAGGGAGAAACTTATCCAGACCCTCATATTCTCACTGTCATTGCTAATGCTTACTATTATCCATGCACAGCACCAAGCACCAAACACGTATTACCCAATTCAGTTATTCCCTGCATGACACCAGGCAGGTGAAGAGAAGTCTCCAAATTAAAGAGCTAAAAAGCATTAGCTCACCTGAAGGAAAGCACATTAAAAGAAGGAGTAAAGATGAGTGAAGAACCAACAGGTGGGTGAAGAGAGTGAACTCAGCTAATAAATCTATGGTACTGTGCAAATGGAAACAGTGAGTGAATCATGGGAAGGACTAACTGTTTAGAAAACAAACAACAAACATGTTCCACTGAGACTTAGCAAAAGGTGTGAAGGAGATTAAAAAATACAAATAAATGTGACAGACTCACATAACGGTATCTAAAAAAGAGAACTGGAAACAGAAGGCTCTCTAGCCAAACAGTTGCCACCACTGGTTGTGTAAAAAGCAGACAGTTTGGAAGATGTTGGAGCTTAATAAATTTACTATCCTTTTTCTCAGGAATTCAGAACCGACAAAAAATAAGACACAGAAGACAGACACCAAGCACGATCTCAGCCCCAATCCCGACACAGCAGTTAGGGCAAAGAGCGTCAACCCAGAAGGGCTTCCCTGTCCCCTCTGCATCCATCATCTGCCGAGCGCAGCCCTCCACACACCATGGAGGCTGCTGTTTGCCATAGGGTGCCCTGACCCCCACCTGGAAAAGAGTGGGAAGAGAGGAAGCCAGTCTGCAGTACTCAGAGCCATGGGTTAGCAGGAGAGGTGGGACAAGTGCTGTGTCCCCAATGCCACCAGAAACACCGTCCTCCTTGGGGAGCCAAGAGAATCAAAGGACAGCAGGGGAAAAAACAGGACCAGAGCCCAGGGAAAGGAGGCTTCCACTCTGAGGAATCGGGATGAAGCCATGAAGGAGGAGGACAGCTACCTGCAACGAGGGTACCTGTGAAGATGTGGTACAGGCAAATTATTTCAAGCTTTCAAATAACACAAAACATGCACTAAATAAAATCTTCCAGAGCCCAGTGGAAAGTAAGAATGATGAAATAGAAATGCTTACAGCTCGTTTTAGAATGAAGCATAACCCTTCCTCCACATTTCTCTTATGAGTACACATACCAGATTCCTTGACATAGAGCTAGGAAAGGCAGGCTAGTGGTCTACAGAGAAAAAAACACACTATCACCCAGTGAGATTATGCCAGGAATGCAGCACAGGAAATCTGTGGATATAAATCATGTCAGTTGGTAAAGGGATAAGAACCATATGATCATCTCAATAGATGCCAAAAAAGGCTTTTGATAAAATTCAGCATGCATTAGTCATCTTTTGTGCAGAGAAAAAGAGAGAGGGGGCAGGAGGGAGAAAAAAGGGAGGGAGAGAGAAGGAGAGGGAAGCATGGGGGGATTGAGAGAGACTGGGGCTGCCAGCAAGCGGGAAAGCCCACAATTTATTCTCTGGTTACACTGCTATTTGGGATATGACGGGTGTTCTGGTCCCATCTGAGAAGAACAGAATTGCAGAGAAGTAGCTCCTGAAAGAGTGTCCCGGGGCAGCAGGATAAGGCAGAATCCTGAGTCAGAAGCCAGGGCAGAATCTGCCAGAACAAGGGGAAGAAGGGCCTGGGGTTGCCAGGAAAACACAGGACACCCCGTGTGATGGCCAGCTTTACATCACTGGAACAAAGTACCTGAGAAAATCAGCTTGAGAGCAGAAAGCTGTTCAGCTCATGGTTTCAGAGACTTCAGTTCCTGGTCGGGTGAGGCCTTGGTGAGGCAGGGCACTGTGGTGGAAAGGCACAGGGGGGCAAAGCTGCTCACCTCATGGTGGACAGGAAGCAGAGAGGAAGCAGGGGTACAGGAAGAGACAGGGGACACACACAGCTGCCAAAGTCGCACCACCTACATTTGGCCCCACCGTCTGACAGCCCATCAGTGAGGTCAGCTCTCTCAAGGGTGAGTTGAGTCCTTCTCTAGGCCCCACCTCTGAATACAGCTGCCTTAGGAAATCAAGCGCGACACACCCGAGTGTCTGGGGACCCTTCGTATTTAAACCTGTTCACTTTTTAAAAAAAAAAAAAGAAGAAGAAGATGTATTAGAAGTTGGGGAAAGGGAGAAGAGATATGGTAGACAGCTCCTCTGGGCACAGAGAGAATTCAAAAGGGCAACACTCAGTCGCAGTTCACTTTTAATCTCAGGTACACAAGTAATTTTTGCTGGACCTGGGTTCCAAATATTGCATAGGACATATAGACATATACTAGAAAAAAATGTCATTTATCTAAAATTCAGATTAACTCATAGCAGTCTGTATTTTCTTTGCCAAAACTGACAATCCTTCAGAGAGGCCACTTACGTTCATTTTTGTTGTTATAACAAAATGTCCTAAGTTGCATAACACATTTTTGGAAAAGGCTTTTCTCATGCACAGTTTTGGAGACCAAGACCATGATGCCAAGACCCACTGGGCCCTGGTGAGGCCCTCAGCTACATCGAATCATGGCACTTGGTGTCACTGCAGGGTGGAGAGTTTTGTGTCTGCAGCACCAGAGGAGAGCAAGACCTTGCTGAGATGGAATAGTGCTTTCCTCAGTGGGTCCTCCTTAGGCACCAGCAGGCAGCACCAAGTCTGCCCAGCTTAGCAGCATTTTATAAACAAAGTCACCCCCCCCCCGCCCACCACCAGAGAGCAAAGAAAAGGGCCCCGCCCCGGCTCTCCAGGGCAGAAGTGCATCCAGGAGGAGAGGGAGGGAGGAGGAAAGAAGAGAAGAGATGGGGTGGTCCCTGAAACCAGTGTGAGGAGCCACAGAGGCTGAGGGGACGCTGAGGGCAGGGGCTACACCGGCTGTCCAGCCTGCAGCCCCAAGGACAAGGCCCTGACCTGCTGCTCATCACGGCAGCCTCATCCTCCATAGCTGAGCAGCACCAGAGACCTAGGGTGCCCGCGTGCCTTGTGGAGGCCAATAGGGTACTGAGTAGAAAGCCGGTGTCTGCCATCAGGCATGGCAGGGCAGGGCACACCGGGGCCACGTGGCCCTACAGCAAAGGTCACAGGTGGGCATGAGGGGCAGAAGCAGAGGGTCTCCATTGCATGGCAGCCAGCAAGGGCCCTAGGCAGCAAGAGGTGATGGCAGCAACCACCAGGAGCATGACCCCGGCCAAGAAGCAGCACTCAGGAACACACGCAAGAGACGCCACTAGGGACAGCCCGGAGAGCAGAGGGCCACACTGCAGCAGGCCAGCACCCCGACACAGCCCTGCTCCCAGCCCCAGTGCCAGCTAGGAGTGAAGAGGACCAGGACACCAGTGCTGTAGACACTGGCCCGAGTCCTTCAGAGATCGGCCAAGACTGCTGAAATTACTGCAGAGCTCGGGGTGCCGCCTCTGCCACCAGATAAGGCAGGGAGGGGCTCGTTCCTGGCAAAGTATACCACACTCTGCTTGGGCTTTAGTGTGTTCTGTGAGTCAATCTGCAACCTCGTTCATGGTTTGTTTCCTGAGTTTTCATTTATCTGATACACTAAAAAATACTGGGTCACCTGGATGGCTGTCTTCCAATCAGAAAATGTCAAATCACATTAGTACTAAGGACGTTGATTGTCTCAGGTGACACAGAAAGTAAGAAAGGGAAGCCTAATACTTATGCATTTGTTCATTCAACAAATATTTGCCAAAACATAAGCTAGCCAGAAGGATGAATTGGAATGGGGATGGATGGTTGGACAGATGGATGGATGGACCAATGAATAGATATCTAGATATACAGATACCATTAAGCAGGTGGGAATTTATACACACAGGTAAGTACCATTTTAGGCTCTGATAAGTACGTATAAAACTGGAGTAGCACATGGGTGGTAGGGGTCAGATCACCCGTGCAGGGCTGGGAAGTCGTATTTCATCATTTGATATCGGATAGTTTATGTTAGGCACTCTACACTGCAGGTGGGTCCACCGTAATGAGGTGGCATTTGGGCAGAAGGGATGAGGCACACCAGGCAGGGGCTTCACAGATCTGCAAGGCATTGTGTGCACAGGGTGCCTGGAGAAACAGCACACACCAGTCCACTGGCTCACGGTTCACTGGGGAAACTACAGAGGCACCATCACCTCCAGGAGTGTGGATCCATATCCAGACATCTGGGGTCCTGGCAACAAGAGGACCTGAAAATGCACAACATTAGACTGGGGGTAAGGGGCTGACTCAGGCTGCAAAGCTCTCAAGATCCAAGATCACACCAATGCCAGCCCAG